TTGATGTTTTGACTTTTCAGGGGTAAACTCAGAAGTGTTCTGGAAACCTGCAAACTTAGTATGACCGGAAACCAGGGCAGGACACAAAAAATGAGTGTATGCCCTGTGAACAATTACCCTTCCGATGCTTCGAAGTCTTTTACAAATCAATAATACTGCTGCAGTGGCTCAAGTGGTTAAGACGCTGAACTGCAGACTGTGGAAGGTCAGTAGTTCAGCAGTTCGAGACCCGAGTGCCGCATGATGGAGTGAGCTCCCATCTCTAGTTCCAGCTCCTGCCAACCTAGCAGTTCGAAAGCAAGAAATTGCAAGTAGATAAATAGGTACCACTTCAGTGGGAAGGTAACAGCTTTCCGTGCGCCTTGGTGTTTAGTCATGCAGGCCACATGACCACGGAAATGTCTTCGGACAGCGCTGGCTCTTCGGCTTTGAAACGGAGATGAGCACCGCAACCCTAGAGTTGGATTCGACTGGCTTTCAAGCAAGGGAACCTTTACCTTTACTAATACTGCCTTAATGATAAAAACACTAAAAACCTACAGTGTATGTTCTAGAAGATCAGCACAATCCCATTGCTGTGTTTTTTAAAAAATCCATCTGCAGATAGCTTACAAATTATATTCGCCATCTACCCAGTCAATACAAGTATGCTTACCCTTCCATCTATATGCCTTCTGATTCTTTAGGGCACACAACATACAAGGCAGGATTAACCAGAGTTACACTCCTGTACGCCCACTGACTTCAATGGGCTTACAGGGATGTTACTCTCCTTCAGATGGCACTGCTAGGTGTGTCTTATTGTCCCCTCACAAGGGTTAGAAATGTAATTGTTTTTAAAAATGGGTGGGAGACATTATTTCAAGAATTTAATTAATGAAAATATGCTAGAGACAGCTGCTGGAGACACGAGACCACTGTTTATTATAATAATGTGGAATTGGTGCAAAAATGACTTCATAACTCACCTGCCTTCTTCTTCATGCAAGATGTTCTTTTGAGCATTAGCCAACAAAGAGTACCCCAAAATGGCAGAACCACCAACACAAGCAGCTAAGTGAAGATCTGATAGACTCCTCCATACAAAGTTATCTAAGAAATGTAGTAAGACATATATAGTCAATTATAATAAAGTGCACACATTGATACTGAATTCATTTTTCTTGGATGATCCATTCAGCAGCTTTCAGTCAACAATAAAGAGAACAAAAAACTGATTGTATACCTGGAAAACATTAGAGATCACCAAATCAGACAGAATCATGCAGGTACATAATATTTAAAAAGATTAACAAATCACTAGTATATGTGGGGATGGTGTTACATTGCAGAAAACAGAAGAAACACTATCAGGGCACCTTAATTCCAGTTGCAGCTTATAGAAAAGACTTGATAAGGATGTGAACTGTAGGAGAAAGGATAGAATTCACCATTAAAAGAAAAAGAAAGTAGGCAAATTTATACTGACTTGGAATTAATAAAGAAATACATTTCCAATTAAAAAACCCAGAAACACAATAGTTTCTAAATGCCAGAAAAACAAGATATTACAGTGCAATGGACAGCCAGAAATTATTGTTAATTTAGGTGATGTTAAGTCATCACTCTGAATACCCCTACTTAAAAAAATAAAACCTATGTAAAGTAGGAAATGTGGAAAGTATGAGGAGAAAAAATTATGAAAATAATTAGAATTAAAATTATTTGCAACTGGAAAAGAATGTTAAGAAGAATTCAGAGGTCCCAAGTGGGAAATCTAGAAATGCCAGAAGAACATAATAAGTGTGAGGAGGAAAAAAATATTAAGAGAATTGGAATAAAATGAGTTGCAATTAGAAAAGGGTGTTCAAAAGAATTAAGAGGTCCCATTGGAAGACATTGGGACCAGTGTTCCCTCTAAGCTGAGTTGGTGTGAGCTAGCTCACAGTTTTTTAGCCTCTGGCTCACACATTTTTGTCTCAGCTCAGGAAGGAGGGCTCCAGAGCAAACTAACTTCTGCAGTAGCCAAATCGCTGGCTCACAACTTTAATGCCAGGGGCTCACAAAGTAGAATTTTTGCTCACAAGACTCCACAGATTAGAGGGAACATTGGCGACCTGGATGGTGAATATGGTATAGTATATCACCTAAATGTTAAAGAGTAGTAACTATGTGGTCCAACTTTCCAATATGGGAAATTAGCTGTAGGGGATTGTTTTTCTTCACTTCTAACCAGGAAATAAAACTATAATAAATGTTAAGATAAACAGAGAGGAAGACATGTAGCTCACTGAGACCTAACTCCGTTGGGCCTCAATGGGGGAAATCTATTTATCAGTACTATACCTGCAATTGGTGGATTAAGACTGACAACCAGTGTGAGAGCTGCAGGCACAGCGTAGACAACCTGAAAGGAAGATACAATAAATAAATCAAGGCAGGGCTAAAGAGAAGTCAAAATAGCCTAGTCAGATTGCCATAACAATAAAAAAGGAACAATCAGCAAGGACTGGTAACAGCAACACAACCCCACCAGAAGATATAAGAAAGAAGTTAGTGCCGGACTTACAGAAAGAGGCAGCAGTAAAGGAACCCAGTAGCATAAAGGGGCTTCATTTGTTCACACAAGTGCCCTTTGATCACAAAGCTATTCATCAAGAGAAAAGATCCTGTTGATAGAATTGCCCATTTTTTGACAAATGATAAGCATAGAATTATGCAGCCTGATGATTCAAGTAACATGTTATTTGGTAGAAAAGAATTAGGTAGCACCTTAAAGACTAACAAAGTTTGTGGTAGGGTATGAGCTTTCGTGAGCTTTCTGAAGAAATGAGCAGTGACTCATGAAAGCTCATATCCTACCACAAATTTTGTTAGTCTTTAAGGTGCTACTGAACTCTTTTCTGCTGCTACAGACAGACTAAAATGGCTACCCATCTTGATGTTATTTGGTAGGGTGTGTGCGTGTGCGAGAGAGAGAGAGAAGTGCTCACAGCTGACTTACAGTGACCCTAAAGGTTTTCCAGGCAAATGATTAAGCTGAGGTGGTTGGCTGTTCCCTCCCTCTACAAAGTCTTCCTTGGTGGTCTCCCATTCAAGTACCAACCCCACTTAGTTTCTGAGATCTGACAAGATCGGGCTATTCTGTACCATTCCACACCCCTCTTGGTAGCATTATATAAAGAAACGAGGACTTCCACTAAGCAATAGGGCTTAAAGTTTAGCGCCTGTACCAATGTTAAGTTGACAATAATTTACAATAGCCTTTCATTTAGTACTCACTATCCAAAGTCCTGGATCAGGGTCATTGACCTGAAGCAAAGAAGGCAGGGAACAAATTCAAATAATAAACTTTCCACAGCATAAAAATTTCTCCCACTGACCAATAAACCAGTTAAATCTGAGCATTTAAATCTAAAATTCCAGGGGTTTGCTTAATTCATTCTCAAATCAACTTCGTGAAATAGAAAACATTTCTCTGAAGGCATGTTAAATAACTCATATACACACAGTATTTAGCCTACTACTCATTCACATATGCCGAATACTCAGTCCATTTGAATACCCTCACACAGATCATGCCGTCTCCATCCATGCTGTAAATACCAGTGATCTCTTCTCAGTTGTGAGAAGTGGAGGCAGACTGGTAGAACTAATAACAAGTTTGGCATTTTTTTTCCTTCCCCACAAGCAGACTGGGAACCTTAGCACTATAAGGTAGGTGCAAGACCCATTGCCATTGCCAATGATCTCTATTCTTTCTCATAGTGAGAGAAACATTATACTTTGCAAGTGGGCGTAGGTGAAGACAGTGCTCCATCATCCCCATAGCACAATAAGACAAACAGATCTCTTCAGAGCTGCTACACGCTTCAGAGGGTCTCCTGCAGTACTGGTGTCCATACCTTGGAACTGTGTTTCAACTGAGCTTGTTCCCAACAACTGCTCCTTTTATTTTCATGCAAATTCAGAATGGAAAAAAGGGCCTTTCGAGGACATTGTCACTTTGCCTATATTTCTTTTAGGTGGCCTTTTGCTCCCTCCATGTTCTGCCGTTCCTAAGTCAAGAACAGTAGTCAATAGCCTGCTTTTTTCCCCTTTCTTCAACCTGGAGTCACCAGTTCAAATTCAGTGGTCCTCGTGCTCAGATATACACAAAGTGGCAAATTGCTGGAATTTGAGTTTCATTTCAACTGCATTCACGCAGATGTAATATTACATATGATTATACCAGTTACCCAGCAAATTGCCAACTGCATATAGATTTCACCCATGCAATCCAGCAAGTTTAAACTGTGTGCATATTACTGTACTTATTTTTGTGTGGTAATTGAAATTGATTATTTTATTGCTACATTCATGTTAGCTCTCATCTGGTATTGCTGTCTGTACAAATCTCTTAGTAACAGGAGGCAGGGTGAGCGGGTGAAGGCTTACTGTGGCAGAAAACAACTTTCTCTGTTTTCCTAATCACAGCTGCTATACAACTAAATGAAGTGGTCAAATTGACTGGACTCACTCACAAGCAGTTTCTGGTCTAAATCAATTTAACTAAGGGAAACATCTGAGGAAAGAATACTTTTAAAAGGGCAGTGTTCATTAATAAGAGAGTCTTGAAAATGTAAATAATTATTCATCTTTTCCTATACTAAAAATTATCAAAATGCTCTAAAAAATTTTTCCCGGGGGGGTATTCCTTTTCTGGTTTTTTTAAACACAGACCTGACAGTTCTGCAGGGGAAAACTATACAGAGCCCTTGGATGGGACATATTAGAAATAAATACTACTTCCGAGGTCAAAAAAGGTTTGGTAAATTGACTAGAATTCCTGTGCTTCATACATCTGGGGCAGGGAATGGGAAAATACTGTTTGGGATCTTCTACTGAAGATGAATGCAGACATTTGGAATGCACTGAAAATTCTAGGAAATATTATAATTGGTTTATCAATTAACTGCTATCTTGTACCAATTCACTTTCTCTGTTATATGCAGTACTGATCCCTCTCCCCCATTCTGGTTAGAGTGAAATGACTGCATCACACATTTCTGCTAAGGGTTTCTTTCCACCTTCACATATTTCCACCTTTAACAAACTTCATTTAGTGTTTCAGAGCACACCATGCCTATTCTCTTACTGTTGAGCTACAGTGACACCCTTTACAAACAATCACTGTGATTTATGGCTACTATGTTTTATAGTTAACAAAAAATACATATGGTTCTTACATATTACATAGATGACAGGAAAATATCACATCTAATAATGTGATCCTGTATCACAAATTTAGAAAAGTCCCATCCTTGTGATAGAACAGCTTCTGTAATAAGTCATAACAAATGAGGAGCATCTAGATGTAAGCCCATTTCATAGTTGACCTTCCTCAGAAATTATTCTTAGTAGATCTTCCTCAGAAGTTATCTCCCTAGAATTAAACATAATCATTATAACACAAAGGACACCATGTAGCTGAATTGAATCCTAGTATTATAAAGGAGCATATGCTGTGTTATTTAGACTTACCTCTTATTTACAACTCAACATTTATACAGGAGGCAAACCAGTATATTAGCATTTCTTAAACCAGGCACAAAACCTTCTGCTCTGATACTTGACAGCAGAACGACCTCTAACATACCGGCAAGATTCCCTTCTTAAGAGAAACTATCCCCCATCATTCCATGCATCTGCGAAACTGCGACATCCTTAAAGGTACATATCACAATTATAATCATATCAGCGTTATTAGCTAATCCACCCGTCACAGGGCAGCCCCTGACCTGCACTGCCCCCGCTAGCCCGAAGAAGACAGCCATGACAAAGTTGCTGAGTCTCCAGAGCCTGCTAGACGCGGAAACGGGGCCTCTAACAGCCTTCTCCATCGCTCTCTTCCGCCCGCTTGGCTCCAGTAATGAAACCGCCTACTTCCCCCCCCCCCACCCCCTTCCCGGCCGTAGAAGCGCAAGGGCGCCAATGAAAAGACTCGTCCTTCAGCAATAATAACACAGCAGAGTAAGTTTCATGAACCGCCCACGCTCTCAACGCGGTACGAAGAGGGCAGTAGGGTTTTGTAGTACCTAGCTCAGTAAAGACATTCCACAGGAGTAGCGGCTATTGGTCTTTTGCGGCAGACACACACAAGCTTGTGGTGACAGATCCATTGTAGCATATAAACTTTGGTAGACTACAGCCCCTTTATTTAGATGTGTTATATAACCATCTGCTGAAGTGAGCTCCTGACCCAAGAAAAATTTATACTTAATAAATGTTAGTATCTAAGAAGCCACACACGACTTCCTTCCATATTATTCACCAGGCATAATAGGTACAGTTTGCGAAGTAGACTCCCTAACATATGTACTCAGCAAGTTACTGCAAGGTATGCCTTAAAAACATTTCAGACTGCAGCCTTAGAGGTACTTTCCAGATGGGCAGTCATGTTGATCTGTTGCAGCAAGACTCTTGTGGCACCTTAGAGACAAAAAATGTTTTTTAAAAACTTGTGGGTCAGAGTCCATTTTGTCACATGCAGGCTTACAGCATGACATGAGATATTTATTTTAGCTACATGAGTAGAAGCAACAATTGTAAATAATAGTTTGAAGGTAGCGTATTTATCTGCTTTAGTGTATGTAAGTTCAAGAAGTGCAATTTGCAGGAAGTTCACAATATTACACAGCAAAATAGATACACGTAATCTTTATGACAATATGAACTGTGTTTCTCTCCCCAGCAGTAGTTTCCAAATGGGGTTCTTCAGTGAAATTGTCAGCAGTAGTGGAAAACTTGGCCTGAACTCATTTGCTCCACCACTATCAATGGTCCACTGCAATATGCAACCACAACATCTTAATACATTTTTTGGATGAAGGAATAGAGGTGTAATGTATTCAGCCTCTAACAGCCAATGTATTCAGACCAATGGTCGCCCGGTTACTGTAAATAGCCTATCGGGAGTAGGGGGTGTGTTTAGGTGTGCTTGGTGGCGGGTTTTCTGAATGCATATAAACCGGCCTGCGAGCCGGTCAGTTGTCTTTGTCCTGAACTAAATAAAGGTACGCTTAGCTGAAATCACTCTCCGTCTGCATACTTTTCAAGAGGGAATGCTTATTAAGTTTCCAGATGATACTGAATTGGGAGGGGTAGCAAATATGGTAGAAGAGTCTTGACAGGCTGGAAAAGTGGGCTAAAACAAATAAAATGAATTTCAATGGGAATAAATGTAAAGTTCTGCATTTAGGTAGAAAAAATCAAATGCATAATTATAGGATGGGGGAGTCTTGTCTTGGCAGTAGTAGGTGTGAAAAGGATCTAGGAGTCTTAGTAGACTATACACTGTACATGAGTCAGTACTGTGATGCCATAGCTAAAAAAGCAAATGCGATTTTGGACTGTATCAAGAGAAGTTTAGTGTCCACATCACACTAAGTGATAGTATTGCTTTGCTCTGCTCTGGTTAGACCTCACCTAGAGTACTGTGTTCAGTTTTGGGCACCACAATTTAAGAAGAATACAGACAAGCTGGAACGTGTCCAGAGGAGGGCAACGAAGATGGTGAGGGGTATGTTTAGCTAGGAGAGGAGACGACTGAGAGGTGATATGATAACCATCTTCAAGTACTTGAAGGGCTGTCATGTAGAGGATGGTATGGAGTTCTTCTGGTCTGTACTGTAAGATTTTATTGTATATGGCCATTGGCGGTTACAATACAAAATTGCATTCAAAGAGTACTTATGGTTTAAAACATTACATTCAGGATAAAACTCAATTATATGGCTAAAATATCAACATTACAACAATTTGGAGTAAAAACATGGTATCAGTATTTTATAATACCTTATAAAACATTTCTAAGGGCCGCCTTGGATCTAACTTTCCTAGCAGCAAGTGCAAAAAGCGCTACCTTATGTGAGACCAAAGGATTTGTGTCCGACAAGAGAAAGATCAACTTTTCACTGTCAGGTAGATTGTACACTAGGAATAGGAATCTGCTTTTGAGGTCCGAGTATAAAGGACAAATCATTATATAATCATTATATAATCATTATATAATGGAATAAATCTTTCACAGAGGTTCCACATACACAAATGCGTTGTTCCTGTGGTAACTACCTTCCAGACAGCACTTCGGTGGGCATAGACTGAAAGAGAAGTGCGGTGAATGCCGCTCTTAGACTGTAGTTCTTCTGGTCCAGAACGATGGACCAAAACCAACAGGATGAAATTAAATCAGAAGAGTTTTCGGCTAAACATTAAGAAGAACTTCCTTCCATCTTAATCTTATAATCAAATTAACCTCTCAATTTCCTATTAACTGACTAATCATCCCAATTTTTTTAAACTTTCCCAAATACCCCGCCATCCTTCTGAACCAGTCCTCCTCCTGTTCACTAACCTTTAACCCATTTATTCTACGTATCTTCATTGTAAGATACTCTAAGATTATTATATTATTCATTTTATCCCTCCAATGTTTAATCGTCAGTTCCTCGGCTTCTTTCCAATTCCTTGCTATCACTTGTCTTGCTGCTACTAGCATCAAATCAATCCATTTACATTCCTCTTTTAACCTTAACCCTATACCATTCAGACTAATAAGTGCCATTGCTTTAGATATTCTTACCCTTCTTCCCACGATCCCCAACACTTCTATACCAATCTGATCCCAGAACTTTTTTAACCAAAGGACAATCCCACCTCATATGACTGAACGTTCCCACCTCTCCACATTTCCTCCAACAATTTTTACTCCCTGATTTTGAAATATAGGCCCCTGCCACACGGGCAGGAAACTGCAGAGGAGAAGTGTGGCTGTTTGCCCCGGGGCAAACTAACATGCAGTAAAGCGATCAGACCTACTGTGGAGGTTCTGTGGAGGTACTGTGGAGGTTCCATGGCAAGGGAGAGGTGCCGATCACAACACACGCCTGCGCGCAATGAAGAAGCGCGCGGCGCGGCGAACTGGTTTTCTTTTTTTGTGTACACTACGAATGCGCATGCTCCGTTGGGTG